ATGATTCTAGCTAATGATAATGTAGAAAAACTCATATTTTAAATTTCGGGACGGTCCACATTAATTTCGGGACGGGTTAGATTGTATTTCGGGACGGTTCCGGGAGAATAGTGAAAAAAGTTAGTCGAGAGCCCTGACCACGCCGCTCCCTTCACTGGCTTCCAGTAACTGCTAGAATCCACTTCAAGACACTGGTACTTGCGTACCATGCTGCGAATGGATCTGGCCCTTCCTACATCCAGGACATGGTTAAACCGTACACCCCAGCATGTGCACTCCGCTCTGCATCAGCCAAACGGCTCGCTGCACCCGCACTGCGAGGGGGACCCAAGTTCCCATCAGCAAAAACTCGTGGGTTTGCTATCCTGGCTCCAAAATGGTGGAATAAGCTCCCCATTGAAATCAGGACAGCAGATAGCTTGCACATCTTCCGGCGCAGTCTGAAAACTCATCTCTTTCGACTCCACTTCGAGCGATAGAATTACTAACAAAGCACTTATATACTAATAAAGGGCTGGCTTATCTAAAGCCAGTTGAGTAGCACTTGAAATGTTTGGCTCTATGAAACCTGATGTACTTATATGATTCTGTTTTCTTTAAGGTTGTATCTTCCTGGTTGAATGCACTTATTGTAAGTCGCTTTGGATAAAAGCGTCAGCCAAATGCAATGTAATGTAATGTAATTTATGATTACTCTACGCTTACATTCATAATGTCAGGCCGAGGGGAGGGGGGCGGCGCTGCGGAAGAGCAGATTGCCTGTCATCTTTCCTTTACAAACTTAAAGAATGTATTTTATCGTGTGAGTTTGGAAATAAAAGTTTCATATTCTGAAAACCAAGACTTTGTTTGTTTAAAATCCAACGAAACACCCGAACCCCGAAAAAATAGTTTTTTACGCAAATCCACGTTTATTTTGAAATGAGCCGTTGCGACTTCCGACTGATTTCGATAGAGCGGGGTTGCGTTCGGATAGTTTAAAAATCAGCTCCTAAATTCTAACCCTATCTCCTATTCCTTGACCTCTGAGTGAAACGTCACGGGGTTAAGGGATAGTGGATAGGAGAATTCAAAAGGACTTAGGAGAAGAGACTGCGGTACTTTAGAGAATCCGAATGCACTTTCACTATCCAACGTGTTTATGATGCGCCAGCGGACGTCATTGTGTGCGTCTGCTGCTGTGGGGAAACTATGGAAACTACAGTTTTCTATACAACGGACTACAACATGGATATATAATAAGAACGACGGACTCATCTAGAGACTCTGCACCGTGCTCTGATGCTGTTGCTTTATGCTTTATGAACAACAGAGAAACATATTCTTCATGACCAAAATTGGAATTGAAATAAAAAATGAAAGTGAAACTTATGCTCGTCACCCTCTCCCTCCGGTCCACATTAACACAAATGATCCCAATACGTATGATTTTATGAACTATGAAAATATCTTAAAATCAATACAAATGTATTTATTATAAACGTTAGTCTTTAACACCTATCACTGTGTATATCACCATTCAAACATCTTTTAAAAGTTGAACAAACCCCACAGAGCTCAGTGAAATGTTGACATTATTTGATCATTTCAGTAAAAACTAACGTTCATATTTCTCTTTTTGATTATAATACTGATGAACGTTCAAAACAAAGCACTTTGGCAACTTACCACATACGTTTTAAAATGCTTAATAAGCACCGTAACTTTCATGATATAATTTCTCGGTCATAATCGGTTGTTTCCGTGAACGGCCGACTGTTGTGTGACGGCAAATGCTGCGGCTGCAAGGCATTGTGGGGCAGCATTTTCTCCTCTCCTTTCGTCAAGGGAGGTCCAGTGGTTCCTAAGCTAAAGGAGGTTATAAAGGAAGTTTGAAACCTCCTTTCCTTTCATCTAGAGAATTTGAACGGCACTTATCATGGCTGCTACTGAGGGACTTCCGGGTCATTTCACTCCGTTAGGAAGGTTCCTAAGCTAAATGGACTATTCGACTTCAGCCCATCACTAACTTCACCAAGCTCCATTGAATACACCCACCATCACTAGAGAGTAAAGAATACCTATGCACAATCACAGAAACCTCACACACGGCTCCTACAGTCCTGAAAGAAACCACAGGCTTACTTGCACTTAGTGGCTTGAAGCAGGATGCATCCAAAACAGACTGTCCCTTAAAGCAAGCTAGACCTTGGCAAGCTACACCGTCTCACACTGTGTTGGAGTAAATTTGTAGCACTACTTAAGGTTGTAATGCTTCCAGTTATAGGGCTGGCAGTTATTTTGGTGACATAAAAAGCAGAGAAGACGGGAGCTTTGGAAATTGTCGGAGCATATGGTCTGCAGTACAAGCTGATAACATGAATTATTCCAGAGGGGAAATATGTGTTGTTGAAGCAATAAACAACAAAATACTTAAATAACACGTCTTACAAGTTCCATTAAACAGAGATGAGTTGTACTTTATGTGGTTGTATATGGCATCACAATCAGCAGCTTAATTCTTAAGCAAAGTTTTCCATCTGGCCTTCCAGACCCTGTAGAGACGCCCTAATTACTCAAGTGCTCAAATTAGCTGCCTAATGCTGCTTCTCCCAGAATATAAATGCATGAGAAATGATTGCACCATTATGTTAGTGTTTGAAATACCAGCAGTAGTGAGGAGGAGAAAATGCGAAAGCACAGAGAAAGTTCAGATGTTTTGAATGGTGTTCATGACGTCAAATCACTGCCATAATTCGCAAGGATGAATGAGATCGACTCACGCACAAGTCAAGCTGTTGACAATGTGTTTTGAGCTTCTTACGCTTTAAAGTGGACCTATCATGCTATATTTGAATAATATAGTGTAGGACCATACCTATATAAGGCATATTTATATTTTTTATTTTTTGAAAATACCAAACAGATCATGCATTTTAGCCATTCCTCATTTCGCTCAATTTAACACTGTCTTTGCATCATGGGCTGATTCTGTGAGAACAGCACCATCTACAGGCCTGGCATATGTACTACAGCGTCTCCAGCGCTTTCCAACGGCAATGTCCGTGGCTGTCTCCTCCTGATTGGTGGAGTTGGCCCAATAGCCGTAGCGCCACTTCTGTGACGTCCTAGAAGTGTTCAAATCTGGATCAGTCTGTATCAGATCCGTTGCAGCCCCTTTTTAAGAGATTTGGGTATGGAGGAAAATAGAGAGGGTTGTGTTTTCTGACACTTGGTGAGTTCCCTGGAACACCGGGGACACATGTTCATGTAGAAAAGACGTACAAAAGTACATTTTTGCATGATAGGTCACCTTTAAGTAAACGCCGGTTAAAAAATCTGTATGTATAACTAAACAGTTTGAAAACATTATGATGTAAATACTCACTGTTAACAACAGACAGATAAACCAGAGAGTCTGGGCCTTGTTGTGCTCCTGATTTGTTGAACTGTGAGCAGGTGTAACCACCAGCATCCTCCTCTGTGACCTTCTTTATAACCAGAGAACAATTCTCTGTAACTCTCAGTCTGTCTGATTTAGCTTTGGCTTCTTTGTGAATCTGTCCGTCTTCAAACAGCGTCAGTGCTGCTGGAAGTCTTGAATAACTGAAGCTCCAGCTAGTATTCTCACACTCATCCTGATCATCTATCACATTGTCACAAGGCAAAGTGACTTCATCTCCATCTCTGACAATGCGGAAGTTATCTTTCACTTCTGCAACTGTTAAAAAACAAAGAAGGGAATAAATATGAATACAACTGTAGTGTTAGCAGTTATGATGATCATTGTAGATGAAGAAAAAGTGGTAAAGTAAAAAAAACTAAACGCTTTTCCGGTCAATTTAGGTCAAATATAAGTTATCATTGATGTCTGTGTGTGTNCCTGTTTCGCTCAAGTTGGGATATATCATTGTGTTTGTTTGTTAGTTTATGTACGTGTGTGTGTGTAGTGTGTGTTGTGTGTGTGTGTGTGTGTGTGTGTGTGTGTGTGTGTGTGTGTGTGTGTGTGTGTGTGTGTGTGTGTGTGTGTGTGTGTGTGTGTGTGTGTGTGTGTGTGTGTGTGTGTGTGTGTGTGTGTGTGTGTTGTGTGTGTGTGTGTGTGTGTGTGTGTGTGTGTGTGTGTGTGTGTGTGTGTGTGTGTGTGTGTGTGTGTGTGTGTGTGTGTACCTGGGCTCATCCTTCAAAGTGGTCATATAGGATTCCTGTGAAACACGTAAAATACAAAAGTTTGTTTTAATCGTATTTTTTGATCTGAAGACGAGGAGACTGAGGAAGTTAAAGTTTTACCTCTTTTGCTGCGATCTTATGTCTGTCGTCCTGCAGAACAACACACCGTCAGTTACACAACACAAGGTCAACAACAACAACAACAACAACAACAATACCATCACCCCCCTCTTCCCAGGCAACAAGTGACACAAAACGTCCTGACTGATCAAACGGATCTGTGTGATTATTAGAACTGATTGTTATCTGATTGATTCTCACCGGATGCAGTTCTCCGATCATCATGCCTTGAGCCATTTCTCGTGCGTCGCTCGAATGTCCGACGTCTTCGAAACTCTCTGTGGCGTCTCCTCCCGCCTGCTCCCTGAGAACCTCCTCCCCCCCGGGGTGCTGGGAACAAACGCACCCTCTGTCAGTTACATCCAGAATCAAGGAAATACATTTAAAAAGAGATGTGTTTTGTAGTTTTTGTTGGTTAAAACTACAAAAATGGCCGCCAAAACACACCCTAGTTTGGTGATTAGGTGTTTTAAGGTCATTATTAACATCCATCAGTCAGGGAATACATCCAACAATAACAGAAGAAGAGATTTTCTGTTCAAGGCATCGTTTTGTTTCTAGTTTTTGGTGATTTTGTGTTTTAAGGGTTGGATTTAAGTCAAAAAACACAAAATATGAATGAGCTTTTAGAAATAGAGCAGAAACCATAAATCCATTCATAGAATTAATACAAATAATAAAATAAGTGATTTTCAGTTCATCTCGTGGTAACAATCAGGAATTTTGGGGTTTGGACCACAAACATGGCCGCCGTAACAGCTCTAGTTTGGTAAATGTGTTTTAAAGTCATTATGAAATTCACATTAGGCACGAGTCCACTGAGTCGTTCAGAGATCAGCAAATACTAAATAATAATAACAACAGAAGTGGTTTTCAGTTAGCTCTGTGTGAAACTGGAAGGCGGATATCTTTGCTTAAAACTACAAAAATGGCCGCCAAAACCAACCCTCTCAATGCCTCTATCAGTCAGCTGGTCTCTCTCTCTCTCTCTCTCTCTCTCTCTCTCTCTCTCTCTCTCTCTCTCTCTCTCTCTCCATGGAGCATTAACCCTCTCACTGCCTCTATCAGTCAGCTGGTCTCTCTCTCTCTCTCTCTCTCTCCATGGAGCATTAACCCTCTCTCTCTCTCTCTCTCTCTCTCTCTCTCTCTCTCTCTCTCTCTCTCTCTCTCTCTCTCTCCATGGAGCATTAACCCTCTCACTGCCTCTATCAGTCAGCTGGTCTCTCTCTCTCTCTCTCTCTCTCTCTCTCTCTCTCTCTCCATGGAGCATTAAACCTCTACCGCATTTCAATGAATATTGGGAGTCATATCGTTACTTTGTTGAGAATGTGCCGGCCGTGTGATAAGCGGGATCATGTGCAGCGAGGCGGTCATTATGGGGAAAAGAACACCGACAGGCAGATCAGCATGAAGGGTGTTATTTACACCTGACCCAGAGAAAGGGGTTAACATGTCCTAAATACACTCTTTATTGATTCTCTTAAGGTGCCGATATTGCACAGCTTCCTGTTTGAACAGATTGGGTCACTTCCTGTGTTTGAATCAGGATTACAAACTATAAAAACTGCCCTTGAGTAAACTCTATAAAACACTTGGGCAATGATTTACCACCCAACCAGAGGAGAGGTGAACGTTCGTCCTCCAGTGAAACATTACCTCTCAGACCAAAGGAACAAACACCATGTTAGAAGTGACTTTGGAGACTTGTAGACGTACGTTTGTGGCGTTTCAATCGGGTTGAATAATAGAAACGCTGTGACTTTAATGCAGAATCTAGAAAGCCACAAGTCTTCGAGGCGATCGGTCAGAAGTCAAAGGTCCAAACCGTCATAAAGCTTTAGTCCAACAAGCTGACACTATAGAAGATAAGAACTAGGAAGTGAATAAGGAGTTTGTCTCAGATAAAGGTTTGATGTAATAAAGTGATGAGTCATGAACGATATGGGGTTCAGAGAGGAGCTTTTCACTCAACATGTCTCTACACCTCTTCACAGGGATGGATGCGTCTTCACATCACATGTCACTAGTTACACGCTGTTATCCAAAGTGACTGACCTACTCAATACTGTGAGCAATCTCCACCGGAGCACTTTGGGGTGAAGTGTCTCAGGGACACGACGACATGCTGACTGCAGTGGGGTTTGAACCTGATCCCAACACCAACGCACTAACCCACTGCGCCACATGCCTCCTGCTCCTGCTAACCTCTGTACACTTAAAGAGATTATTATACATTAGTATTCAGTCCAATTATATTCAGGCTGATACTGAAATATATCCAATAATAAAAAATAAGTGGAGAGAATTACACACTCTCTCCACTAGAGGGCGCTGATACTATTTTAACCATAAACTGCTAACATAATCAAACATATCCTAATTTAAGGGATTATTTATTGCATATAATGAAGTTATTTGTCAATGTAAAATAACTCTCTAAAATAAATGATTTTTTAATTTAATTTCTATTTTTTAAATTGGTTGCAATTGAGCTTTATTGAATATTTTATTAATTGTGGAATATGTAATTATGCAAATCAGATGTATGACTAACAATTTACATTATAGTCAGATGTGGGATATTGATTGGGATTTAAAGTCTATTTACATTATTTTGTATATACAAGGGGTTCCCCAAAGAGTCTTCCCGGGCAAAAAAGAGCCACATTTAATATTAAAAAATATATATTCTGAGAAACAGTCAAATAAAAAACAGAAACGGCTTGTTACAAACTCTGTCCACTAGAGGGCGCTGACCACTTCCTTACAATACACTGCAAACATAGATAAAATAAATAATCAAATCTATGTAAATATATTTACGATTTATTTTATTTCTTAGCTCTTAAACCATGCATGCATTGGGAGTTATTTCCACCTTAGAAACACACTTTAAAGTTCGTTAAATGCCTCCTGTCTCCTGTTTTCCTGCAGGATTCCCAGCTGATCAATAACCTGCAGAAACACTGTAACTCCAGCGGATCAATAACCTGCAGAAACACTTAGACTCCTCACCTCCTCCAGGAACTTGGTGACATCGTACACGCTGTTGTTGATGATGATCCAGGTGGATTTGAAGGAGTTTTGCTCCTCTATCTGTGAAAGTCTGAAGTACTTCACACTCGCTGTTTCCTCCATGTTCCTCTGAGAGATGTTTCAAGTCACTTCCTTGCAGTCTGAAGGCAGCGTGACTCTGCACAAACACTCCGACATTTAACCCACTTTCTATCAACAGGAGTACATTTACTTCCAGCCGTGGTGCGTTCAGGGTCACAGCAATAACACACAGCTAATCCGGTGGAGAGTTTCAAAATAAAAGTCGTGTTTACAAAATGTGCTAAAGATAAAATAAGAAGTACTTTATTAGATTAGATAGAATTTTAGTAATCCCGAAGGAGATTCTTTTTGCCAGGTTGCTCCAAAATTACATTACAGATAATACAGATACATCTTGATAAAAGTATGCAATATACAATAGCTCAATATACAAAGTTTAAAGTAATGTATTACAGTGCCCCAGTAGAGAATAGGTAGCGGCCTATGACAGTGACAAGTCATTGGTGACAGGTCATTTGGGGCAAGGTCATATTGCACATTCAAGTAAAATACTAAATATCAAATACTAAAAACACAGCGGGCGAACTCAGGGGGCCGGCCATGAGAGCGAAGGCAGCGGCTGGAAGAGTCCAGAGGCCGGGCTCGAGGGCGAAGGCCCCGGCTGGGGAACTCAGGGGGCCGGGCTCGAGGGCGAAGGCCACGGCTGGGGAACTCAGGGGGCCGGGCTCGAGGGCGAAGACCAGACAGCTCCGGAGGCCGGGCAGGACACGGTGTCGGCCGAACAGGAACTGGAGCCGGTGGGACAGGCTTCGGCAGGATCCCCCACGGAAGAGGACCAGGAGTTGGCAGGACCCCCGGCGAGACAGGTGATGGCGGGGCCTCCAACAGACAGGACAAGGGGTTGGCAGGAACCCCGGCAGAAGAGTTGTCGGCGGGACCCCCAGAGGAACAGGACATAGGATTGGCAGGACCCCCGGCAGGAGAGTAGTCAGCGGGACCTCCAACGGGACTGGACATGGAGCTGGCAGGACCCCCAATGGAACCTCCAACGGCACAGGACATAGGATTGGCAGGACCCCCGTTAGGAGAGTAGTTGGCGGGGCTAGCAGGCCGGGAATCACACACCGAGAAGTCCAAGATCCAGCCAGGTAAGAATTTCACTAAACCTGGTTTCTCCATAGCCATCTGGTGCGCCTCAGCCAGAGCAGCCTCAGAAAGCAACAGGCAAGACAGGGGGTGAACACTTTTCAGAATAAAACAGGAAACCAAAGACAGAAAAAGACAAGACAAAACACAACACAGACAGATCGTGACACCAATCATTTCTTGCAGCATTTAGTATGAAGTATTTGACAGGTACTGGAGGTGGAAAGCTTTACAGCAGTGATAGCTATACTGATAGGGGCCTATTATGCTACTTGTCAGCTTTGTATTCAGATGTTTTGCCTCTACTGTGACATGTTTGAATGCTTTAATGTTCAAACTCACTGGAAGTAAACAAAAGAGTCCAATGGAGGAGTTTAGGCTGGGTGTTGTGGGAGAAAAACTCCCTTTGGACCTTAGGATTTTATCATTTGTAGACCAAGGGGAAGCCCCAAAGAGCATGCGAGTTAGGGTATAGTTTCGCTAAAGTAAAAGAAAATGTATGCATATTTCTCGTTTTAAAGTAACAGTTCGACATTCTGGTGAATACGCTGTCTTTACATGATGTGAGCCTCTCCGCTCACCCAGGGTTCAAATAGGGGTCTATCCCTTTAAGAGTATAGAATTATTGTAAGAGTGTATATGTTGGAGCGTGAACATATTTATGTTGTTTTCTCCCACTTGTTTTTCTTATGTTGTTTGCTGACCTTGAGCACCCTGAATGCATCACAGGTGTAATACACAGTATCAATGCCCTCCAACCACAGCTTTCTTTTCTATGTAGAGCCGAGCAAGTTGGACGAGCTGCAAATAACTTCTCCTCAACCTGCAACTGTAAGATAGGCCAGACTGGGTGAGAAATATTCTCATATCGGCCTCTTTTTCTTTCCCTTTTTTTTTTTAACACAGCTAACTTTTAATTCCCCACTTTGAACTGTGTACTACACTGCTGCTTTTATTACACTGGTTTTGTTTGAATAGGCCTGTGGCTTACGACTTATCCACTGTACCTTATTGTGAACTGCGGGTATGATGCAATTCGGGGGATTGTAATGCCCGAGTGGTTTTTAGCTTACCCCATTGGAATATAATATTGTTTAGAAAGATAAATAAAGACCTTGTGTAATTCAGACTGTAATGGGGATGAGCAAATAGAAGAGCAGAAGCTATAGTATAATATTGCAAAAAAAGCAGGATGGAGAGATGTGTTTAAGTGCTTGTCTTGCAGTATACCGGACGCGTTTAGTAATTGGGTCATCGCGTTTCATACCTCATCTGAAGCAAAACAAACATGATGGAAATATATACAGCAAGGCTGGTGCTCCTTCAGCAAACCCTGTCTTCCCTGTTTGCTTGCCTCCAAATAAGTCTTTGTTCCTCTGAAAAAGCTGGCACATTTCAGAGGCTCAATGGCTTTAATGAGCCACGATGTTGTGCCAGTGGTGGCTGTTGGGTGTCAGGAATGAAGCTCATGATAATGTGCCCGGCTGAGTGCCACTGTGTGTTTCCCACTGTTATGGTAATGGGCCACTCTCTGAAGGCGGCTGCAGCCTTTTTTTCTCACCTCTTTGCTATTCCTGCCATTGCCACTTATTTGATGTTTGTATAGAATAATCTGATACCTAACGCTGTAATACTGTACCTTTATGCATCTTTCTCAGGCAAATAGCATATTGAAGAAGAACAAAAGAGTGGAGGGAGCCCCTCAGCTGTGTGTTTTTCTGGTTATTTCCCCCCTACAGCTGCGTTGACAGTGTCAAGGAGAGGCTGCTTGGAGCAGCAGAACGGGGAAGATGAATTGACATAAAAGGTCATTCGGTAGCCTCATATTTTGCCCCTTCAGCTTTCAAGGTGAAGAGGCATGAAAGGAAGTAGAATATCAATAGTTGGCTCGGGCTGCTCCAGGAGGACCAGGAGCAGTTCCTTTTCATGGATTCCATTTCTAGAGGAGGAAATGGCCCTTCTGCCACAGACCTTCTGCCTTTCAACGGCAATCAATTTGGCTTTAAAGGCGAAAGAGCTCTCCCTTTAGAGACTTTGGCGAGATGAGCATGCCACTGCCATCCTCCAGACCCAGCGTGTGCTCATTGATGACTTTTTTTTTTTTGAGAGGGAATGCAAATAATGTAGTCAAACTGCCCATGTGCAGTTAATTTGTTATGTGTGTGTTTAGAAAGGGATAGTTTTACAACTGCATGTTTTTCGGCAGATACAATTATTCTTTTAAGATTATTTGCCCACAGCCAAATGTGTTGAGTTAGAATAAAAAATATTCAGCATAATTATGAAGTTTCAAGAATAATTTGGCAAGGTCCCCACTTGTTTCCACTGTTTAGAGGCAACACACATGATTATGAGCCTATTCCTCCTGCATTACGCTACCTTGAGAAACCCCTGTCCCAGCTCAACAGCATTTTAATTGTTCCACTTTTAAGAACACCTCCCTGAAGAAAAAAGAAAAAGCCTTTGAATATTTCAAAAGAGATTTAAATCGTAAGATTTCAGATATATTGCATCATTTGGGAATAGGAGAGGGCAGAAAGGATGAGGTGTTTGACCTTTTCAGATTTGTCCCTTGGTATAGTGAATTTGCTGCAGGGGGCTAGTGAAGCGGCGGTGCGTTGAATTATCACTCCCACTGTTCAAACGGCGCAGACCTGATCTCCCACTTGCTCCACTCCCACTACTAATGGGTTAGGAACACTGGGAAAAGACAAAAAAAAGATGAAGATAAAGAGGGAGAGCGTGGGAGGGAGGGAGTTATAGAGCCTGTCTGATTGTCTGTGGATTAAGCTTAGAAACAAATTACCGCTTTTTGCTCGGCGCTAGGACAAATAGCAGCGTGTCACATTGTGAAATTTTTAGCAAAAAGCCAATGTGTTTTCACGGAATGATCGAGCTGAGTCTGTGACAGCTACCGGCGGGAAACATGTCAACACTTTGACGGATGCTCGCTATATTGAAAGGCTATGATGACTTTTTAGTTGAGTGGTCTTTCACTGAACTCCCCCCAGTCCACACAATCAAATCAAAGCAGAACAGTAAAGGAGGCAAAAATAACTTGCCAAACTGCTTTTTAATAGTTTACCAAGGAGCGAAGGACACCGTGTCTTTGTCGTGTCAAAATCACAATGCCTGCATGGCCTACCTCTGTGTGCTGAAAAAGCATGTATGGCGTACAGTCTGACAAAGTAATGGTTTGAAAAAATACAGTATTAATTGCCAGCCTCATTCACTATGGAGCTGCCACAGGTTGAAAAGCATTGCCCTTAAACATTTGTATTCCTGCTTCCATTGATTGTGACATAATAACGATAATTTTCTTAGGACCAAACCTTTTCCCAAGGTCCAATTTTCCCAAGCAACTTCCTTTTTCACTCACACTTATGTTAAAGTGCACATGTTTTCTGGTGAAACATGTCACCCGCTGGGTTCACTACCATTGCCTCATGCTGCATCTCTTTCTGTCTCTCTCTCCACCACTCTCTCCACCACTCTCTCCATGCCAAACCAGAAGCCATCTTGTGTGACGTTGGGGAGTTTCACTGTCATGATCACCACACCTGCATCCCCGAGGCCTGGCTCTGCGACGGCGAGCCCGACTGCCCTGACGACTCGGACGAATCTGGCAAAACTTGTAAGTGACTCATTCCATCCATTACTCACTAATGCACGATTGTCATATTGAATTCTGCCACAGCGCCTCATTTGTCAGCTTTCATGGTACAGGGCCCTGTGTTAACATGCAATTCAAGGGATGTTCATAAGAGTAGGTCATGAAATGCATTAAAAGTCTGCATTTGGCTGCTTTGGAATAAGAAACAGTACTTCAAGTATACTTTGGTGAAACTATTAGGGACACATTTAAAAGAGATTGCGTGGCATGAACAGCTGGGAACGCTCCATAAAAAAGACCAAAATAAACTTTCAAGTCAATAGGGTCTTGAGGCAACTTGAAATAGTAGACTATCAGATTTTAGAGGTCTGTTTCGACTGCCAATCACTAATCTTGAAAAAGCCATATGGCCATTCTGTCTTCTTACATAGAAATGCTTGGTACCTCGAATCGCGAGAGTGTTTGGGTTTGAAGCATACTTGGCATCAAGGTGGACAGCAAGGTTGTGGTGCAGGAATGCTTTGATAAAAATGTCATTGTATTACTTGTATTTTCCTACCTTAAATAAATGGTCAGCATGATAGTAGCCTGCAGGGGATCATCAGAGGGTCAACATGTCGGTAGAAACAATTAATTATTGTAAGAGAGTGTCACCTTAAATCACATGTGTCAAACTCAAGGCCCGGGGGTCAAATCCGGCCCTTGGTGGATTTAATTTCGGCCCGAAGGATAATTTCTAGGGATGCACCGAATATTCGGCCGCCGAAAATTATCGGCCGAAAATGGTTAAAAAGGCTCTTTCGGCTTTAATTTTCGGCGGCCGAATATTCGGTGCATCCCTAGAAATTATCCTTCGGGCCGAAATTAAATCCNTGTAGTGTCTCTACTTTAAAGAGTCCTCTCCTGCTGATGTTCAGGTGTATATCAGTATGTAGTGTCTCTACTTTAAAGAGTCCTCTCCTGCTGATGTTCAGGTGTATATCAGTATGTAGTGTCTCTGGGACATGTCTCCATGCTTAATGTTCAAAAAGCTCTTTATTGTTCTCATACTGTCTGTGCTGCAGCACCTCTTTTCACCCTCTGTCTGAAACCAGGGCCCAGTCTGCTCTGATTGGTTAGCTGGCTGGCTCTGTTGTGTTTGGTCAACCAGCTTAGAGATGTCCCGCCCCCTAGCCATCCCGTACAATGTGTTGGAGCACTAGCCAATTGAAGCGTGAGTGTTACGTTGGTATATCACTTGGTTACGTAATACGCAACACGGGGATTTTAGCGTTTGCAGACCATTTACATGCACACAAACGTTTTAACACACACAACACGAAAGGAGACAACCACACAAGCATTATAGGGCGTGTTTTATTTGAGTTATATCTGAGCAGCAGTCGCTGAACTTTCGCTAAGGACTTGTGTACTTTGTCCATTGCTCGTATGTTTGTTGGTATCATGAGCCCGTGCTCCAGAATGAACCTTAACTTATCTAGTGAGTGATTTAAACATGCATAGTAAGATGTTTTCAGGAACCACAGCTGTATTGCTTGCTGTCCTGCAGGTGATTTATTTGCAGTGTCATACCACATCAGATGTATGATTAATGAGAAAGAGACTCAGCCAGCTGCATTGATTGATGGAATAAAAAAATCTAATGTGTGCTTCATACTGCTTGAGAACTTGTATTTCCATCCAAGCTGATAAATGCCAACTCAAAGTGGGAAATGCAATGTTTGTTTTTGTTTGTTTGTTTTGATTCCATGTTTGTTCATATGGATATTGTTTGGATCCATAGCCAAACAGAATGCTGCACACACACCAACTTTCCTGCACACACCCCTCTTCTTGTTTGGAAGAGCATTTGTAACAGCAACATGCCAAGTTCAATTTGGGCTGTGGTATAATCCATGCATAAAGCTGTAAAGACAAGGACAGATTAAACAGTGAAGCCATGTTGATTTACAGTCATGTGTTAAAGCACACCCACTGTTTCGGGAAGCTGACAAAACAAAAAGGTACTTCTCGTACTGTGAGCGGTGCTGAACCCGGATGTTTGATGGTTTCATAACTGATTGGCACCGTGCTGTGGGAGGCTTTTATTAATGTTGTTAAACCGAAAAAGGTGTCAATATTTGAAATGGATACACCTTAAACTCTTATCTAGGCACAGTGGTTGTTAAATAATTTATATGTAGCAACAATGCATGGTTTCTATCCAGATAAAACAGCTCACAGTATGTCAATAAGCAACTTTTTACTAACCACTATTGAAGTGGCGAAAGACTGTTGCAGGAACGACTCCTAACACCCGACTATGAGTTAGCATTTTACATATTCTGTTCTTCAGACAGACTCAAATAAGCTCTGTGGTTAACACAAGCTGAGCAGATTTTCACGTTTTGTTCTACGACGTGAAATATGTCAGTAAATATCCCACTGGTGAATTTCCAAAGCTTCAATTTGTCATAAAATCTGTGTTTAAACGACTAAACGTCATCATGCTAACATTAGCCTCCATTAGCTTAGCGTTGGTCATGCCATGTGACCGTTCTGTACTTAGTTATAGCCTAACGTTAGCTTTTTACTAATGGTAATTTTTGTTATGCTTATTGGAGATTAGATTATATCATTATTTTTGCTTTACCTTTTGAAAGAATAATGTCCTAACCTCTCTTTTCTGACTTTCGCAGCTACTGTGATGTCATGTGATTTCTCCACTGGAACAAACCTGTACCTGGGAGGAAGTTCTTCGGCCCAATAAAACCTCAAATACAAAAAGACTGCCACCATATTTTTCCACAGCCTCATCATCTACTGCCTTTTCCATCCCCTTGTGATTACAACCCAATTTCTAGTGACGAAATGAACACTTTTGAGGTGCAAAACTTTTATTGCACTAACCTTTGTTGGTTTTTCGGAGGCTTTATCTGCAACTTTATCTCCAAACCTGAGCACTTGAAAAATGCCTCAACACAGTTCATTTAAGAATATTCCAATCACTTGCACTTTATTCTCATAAGATAGCTTGTTATAAATCGGTCTCACTGTTGTGTTAGCGACAATTTCATAATCACAAGTTCTTACTGTGTTTGATTTTCACTGACACTCATTGAAAAGTGAAACCAAACCATTATTGATGTTTTCTTTTTGATCATTTGTATATTGTATATGGGGGAAATGAAGGCTGTGTGTTTGCTGAGTTTAAAGTGGTCAAATGAATATTGCATTTATAATAAGTGACTGCTTTATTGTCAAATATTAGAGACTGAATCTATTCGCAATTTATTCCTGAGTATCGAAATCAAACGCATATGTTTTTCATTTGGCACTAATGATCCTCCATATGTTGTTCCTTTGTTAAATTACATTAAACACATTTAATTAAGCAGTGTTATAGAAAGCAAATCTGACATTATGAGACACTTTAATATCATTCGATCTCTACATTGAAATGTTTTGATGTTTGCACTTTAAGTATTGTAATGTTGTATTATCGTCATGCACCTTATATGAAAATGTTCAACCAGAAAGTGTTTTTATTTTGGAGAAACTAATGTTTATTCAGCTAAATATACGAGAGACAGATCTAGTCTAAGATATATATATTTTTTTATGAACAGAATATAGTAATGTTGAGATGGAAAGGCTCTGATCTGTACATTTTGTTTCCGAGGTACACCCCTTTTTTAATTTTGTAAACAATGCAGAATTTGAGTTACACACGGAAAATAAATATTGCATGATGCAATTCTTTGTCTTGATTTTTTCCAAAACAGCTTCCAACTATTACATTTCACATCTGTGTAGGTGGATGTCTCGTTTTGAAACTAAACGTGCATTCATACAAATGCAAATAAGGTTTTATCCTCACTTTAACACCACGTTGTTCACTTCTTCACCGCATTTAATTCCCGCCTTCCATCCTCAAGCTGTCATTTGCCAATCAGACACCCAAAAGCTTTTTCTTTTGCCCTTTAAAAATGCTTTTCAATAGGACCTAAAGCTCGTGGGCGTGCGTGTTTTTGCTTTCTACATTTTGCTCTGGGGAATCTGTTGGATTACGGAGGGGATTTCTGTGAAATAAAGACGATTTTTTTTTTAACCACTCTCCTGTTGCGTCAACCAATCACAAAGCCCGCAGACATGACGTACCCTTAAGTGGTGTTTATGTGCGTTTTTAACATTAGGCATCTGAGACTGTAATCTGTGTATAATGGCGCGTTGCATCATGCTGAAGCCTTGGAGGCCTTTTAAAACAGCGTTGACCTACTTTATCCTAATGAACGGTTTTACACAACCTATGGGGCTCTATTTTCTGTGAGGAAGGATTCTATAGGAGGCAGATGACGAAATGACTGATGGAGTTTGAAATATTTACTGCAACAAACAATGTATTTGTTGTTATTATACAGCACATATTTTATTCCAATTCTATATCAATGTAAATACTGCTATATTTTACTATATTTAAAAAAAAAAAAAAACAACTCCAAGTCGAATTCCTCGTAGGCTACGGGCAACGTGATAAAAGCACATCTGTCAGTGTGTAGATTAAAGGTCAAAGTAACGGGTAAAATCACTTCTATAAAGAGATATATGAATAAGCAACTGAGCTAAGATGATAATGGTAAGTTGGTGTAATTTATTTATTTCTTAGCAAGTTTATGATCTCTCTTTGACATGTTAGCATGCTAGCAATATTAGCACCATTAGCTAATAACCACACAGTACAGTACAGCTGAGGGTACAGCTTAATTCATTAAGTTGTGTTTAATAAAACCAATTCACAACAAGGTTATAGAACATGTGAACAATATAATAATGCTATCTGTCAAATACAACTTCAATGTTCTGTATTGTATGCAGGGACGTGCACAGACATTTGGAGGGGCTATTGCTCTAAACTAGAAAAAGGGCCTCCCCCCGCCCCTCCCCCCCCGAAAAAAAAAACGTAAG